TGACAATGCGGAACGACGATTTTCTCTTCATCGAAAGAAATATGTAGTTTTATCACAAAGAATAAACTCCAATAAACTTTTCATTTGTCAGTAAACGACTTTATTGGAAAAATCAATAAATACAAAATATACAGCAAATCATCTTGTATATTTTTTTATCCCCCTTTAAAACTCTATTTTTTGACTATTTCTTTGTTAAATCACGATTAAAATAGGTTTATTAAAATACAACTTTTCGGCTACATGAAAATTATTAACTTTTATTGTCAAGCAGTTGTAATGAAAGGCTGTGATAAGACTATTTACCTGAGACAAATCCAACCGAGTCATTCAGTTGTACTAGAAAATGCTTAGCATTGTTCAATAATATTTAAAGTTGTAGCCAATGCTTAGATCCTCATCAGTGGCCACATTCATTTATTTGTTTGTGTTGTAGTTATTTACACATATATTACAGTCAGCGCAACCAGAATACAATTACAATCACAACACAACAACCAGTCAAATAAGACTAGTCAAACACACAATCCTTTCACACTGGAGACCTTCGTGTTTAGAGAGAAGAGGTGCACATTGTGTCCTTCAGAATATCATCTAAATTATTTACAAATCCACATTAAAAGATTGCTTAAAGCAACTGGCGTTTTCTCACGTGGAGAACTCCCTCTCTCCATGGAGTTTGACAAAAGCACTCTGGACAGTTTACTTCTACCATTCCTCCACTCGCTTAAGAGGCTTTTCTTCAACCTTGATGTTGTTGAGGTTCAGAAGAGATACTGTGGGATCCACTCTTACTGAGGATTTAGATCTGTACATCGACCTTGGATGTGAGAGAGGGGCCATTTCGTGGCTTTCGACGAACCTCTGGATTTCCTGATCCTTCTTCCTGAGAATGAGCTTTTTGATACGTTTGAAGATGAGGTAAATCATTTCACAGATGCACATTAAGATGTAGACCACAGAGAAGACCACCATGAAGAGCATAAACATCTTTTTCTCCGTGTGCCGGGATATGTAGCACTCCACTGGGCCAGGACAAAGATTCTCCCTGCACAAGATCAAGCGGGGCATGTTGAAACCCTCGGTGATGAAATACAGGACATAGAGGAAGCCACCATCAATGCCTGCCCTGAAGATCAAACTCACCTGTAAAATGGGATGCATTTGGGTCAAACTTGGTAAAAAAAAAAATCAAAGTATGAGTGTCACTTCTGATGATTTCTCCCCAGAATTGCTAAGACGAGCTAGCTTATGTCAAAGTCAAATCAAGGACACCAAATTTAGCTAAATCCATCTTTCTTACCAGGTAAGTCCACCACAGGCCTCCACGTTTCTTTCCAGTGTTGGCATACAAGTGCTTGCCCTTGTGGGAGGTAGTGTATTCCATGTCTTTCTTCTCCCTGTACTTGACGTGGCCGACGACCATGAGCGATGGGCAGGTGACGAAGATGAGCTGCAGGGCCCACAGGCGGATGTGAGAGATGGGGAAGATACTGTCATAACAAATGTTGGTGCAGCCTGGCTGGTCCGTGTTGCAGACAAAGGCTTGGTTTTCGTCGCCCCACACCCGCAGAGCTGCTACCAGAAACACCAAGACCCGGAAGACGAACACCATAAAAAGCCAGAACTGGCTAAACAATGTGGAATATTTATTACTCAGGAGCGCCTTTAGAGCATCCCAGGTCATGATTGCCCACTTATCGGTGTGTGTTTGGATGAAAGAGGGTCAGGAGAGAAGCTGGAAATCGTCAGGAGGCTAATTGGATAAAAGTCCTGATGATTTCAACCTGAGAAGAGGGAAAAAAGAGAATTAATATTCTAAAGGCCGAGAAAGCAAAGTGAAATGTTTCAGCTTGACAAATAAAATAATCTCAATTTTTCCACTGACGTTACAAACAAGGATGATGATGTGTATATACCAGATAAAGACATTTCTAATAGTCCTAACCTTATTTGGCAAACTAGATTGTTTTCCAATATGGGATGTTTGACAGAGTAAAATTGCAGATTCACGTTTATCAAAACCATGTTGGCTGATAATGTGGTGCTGGTTATTTTCTCCCTTTCTCTTCCATGTCTCCTTTTCATTCTAAGCCTGGCCGGGCTCCATGGGTAAAAGCCCGGCCACCAGGCACTTGCCAACATGCCCCAGCTCCAGGTCTGGCTCCAGGGTGGGGCCCCAGTGACCCGCATCCGGGCGAGCTAACACTGAATCCAATCGTATTGCTCGTCATAAGGGGTCTTCAGGCTGCACCTTGTGTGGTTCCTCACCTACGACCTGTCTGCCTTTCAATGACCCTACCAGGGGCATAAAGCCGCAGTAAGCATAGCTTCTAGGAGCACTGGGGCAGTCAAACCCCTCCACCATGATACAGTTTCAGCCAATGGAGAGGCCCCTGACTTTTTCCAAGGGCAACTAATAATCTCTGGTTTTGGTAAAGTTCTGACCTACCAATATGAACTTTACGAGTTTTGAAAATATAACTGACTTAATTTCAGTTAATTTCAGAACCAAAATGTTTGTGGAGTTGATATTTTAAAATGTCTCTATCATCTTAAGTGAATGATTTGGGCAGTTAGCATGGCTAGCATTGTGCTGTTTCCAATGGCACCAGGAAAGATAAGTTTATAGTTTATGCATATAAAGCCAGGAGACCGGACCAAACACACAGCTGGCGCCTCTGTGCGTTGCCTCGCGCTGCCACTGCTTGATTTTTGAAGTTTACCTCAGAGTGGATTGCACACGCCTCCTTTGACTTAAACTGGAAAAACCTGACCTGTATAGATATTTACATCAACCACCAGTGTGGAATTATGTTTCTTTGGAGTAGCCTACACTACTTCAAGGTAAGACCACAGCTGCGTGGCAATCTGAGAAACTCTTCACATAAATTCGAGCAACCAAACAGTTTCTGTGGGGCTTGTTAAAAACTCAACAGACACAAAATGGAAGAGCTACTAAAGCCACATTATAGCAGGATTACATTAAATCTCCCGTTTGTTGCTCATCTCTGTGCAACATAGACTGTATTTAACTCATCATGCAGGACTGAGCAGAATTTGACTTAGGGGCCCCTTTTGTTGCTAAAAACATCAGCACCTCAAACAGCTTCTGTGTTAGATTTAATGAAATCTGGGAGAGAGGGAGTAAGTTAATTGGCCAACCTAAAAATCAATCAGTTATAATTGCAGTTTACTAATTTGTATTTGTGAACAAACAGAGCTCAATCTCAAAGACTAAACTCACAGCATCAGATTGTAGTTGTGGTAACAAAACGATCTAACTATGAAGATTGTTCTTTGAACTTTTATGAAGTAAACTTGCCAGCTCCTTAAAGTCTTGCATTCAAATATTAAACAATTTGAAACATTTTCATTTATGTATACTGAAACCATTAAGTCAAATTTAGCAGCATTGACAATCTCAATAAACAAATGTTAAATTTATGTATCTGTGGTCTGTGTGAAAATATCAACATTTATGGGGCCCCTGAAGCCCTGTGGGGCCAGATGGAGCAGCTGACTTGATTTGGATTAAACAGAAGTGCAAATAATTTATATTCAT